TTGTATTTCATTTTGCAATGAAATCTTTGCATATATATTTCCTTTATTTGAATTTCGTTGTATTAAAAACTCGACTATAATTAAGACTGATCACCTTTGAATATACCAAAACAGTGAATGTTTGAAAAGTTTGTACACACGTATATATATATCGTGCTTTATTTTTATCCATTTTCTTGAATTAATTTCAAAATATGACTTTTAGGATTATTCGGACGTTATATAATTTATGTTTTTCTAATCTTTATTATTGAAGGAGTGATCATTTTTGGTTCTGATCAAGAGGTTGCTGGAGTGATGAGGGCTGTCAAGAGAAACAACGTTACAGGTTACTTCTCGTGGATTGGAAGTGATGGCTGGAGTGCACGTGCCCTCGTATTTGATGGTAATGAGCTTCAAGTAGAAGGAACGTTGTCAGTGCAACCTCGTGCTCATGCTGTGGAAGGTTTTGACGATTATTTTCTCGGTTTAAATGTGAAAAATAATCAGAGAAATCCGTGGTTTATAGAGTATTGGGAGAAGTATTTCCAGTGCAAGTGGATAAATAGTACCGTTACACCTTACAATCAAAATTACGATAAATACTGTACTGGTGATGAAGTAATGACGTACAGTAACGGCTACGAACCTGAAAGACAACTCCAATTTGTCAGCGATGCTGTGTTGAGTTTCGCCTATGCTTTTCGGGACATGCATCGAAACTTGTGCGGCGGTAAATCTGGTCTGTGTCAGCGGATGAACCCTATTGACGGAACGGAGCTGCTTAAATACTTGTATAAAGTACACTTTACAGGTAATGAAACGAATTAATAAAACACCCATACCTAACGATCATTCGGATGTATATAACACATGTTTGCACTCTGTTATTTATATCTGGCAGTCAAATATTCAATGTGGTTTTCATTTGGAACCTAGTGTTAAATATATATATATATACTCAGATAACAATAAATCAAAAATACTTTAATAACACAAGGATTCTAATGAAGTGGTTATCATTCATTCTGAATGTTTTCTATTTGTTTGCTACAGAACATGCTTTAAGGGTAAAAAAAAACAATTCCTTTCATTTTACACACCCTCCAGTGTCTCAGTGGTAAACATGAGGGTTTATATGCTAAAATTCGGACTTCGATCCATTTACTTGGCACAGCACAAATAGCCAATTGTGTAGCTTTGTGCTTAACAACAAATAAATAAAATATTTTTAAACATATAACCAAAACTCAGATTGAATTCTCATGGTTTTATATTCGTTTCTTTTTTGTTTGAGTAAAAAGTAGAAACTGTTTGACTACCAGCAACTACATTTACAGAGAACACGAAACTGCTTTAACTGATAGTTCCTGATACTTCAGACGGTGAAGTACTGCTTAATAGTTAAATTTTTCTTATCATTCTTATTGCAAATAATTACAGATTTAAATTTTATATTGGGTAAACAAATTAAGAATGTTTTGTAACTAAAGCGTTAAGCTAAAATACAGATAATAGTTTACATATATCAGTTTTAGACTGATCTAGCTTATTCCAGATTCTTCGCGTCAAAGGATTTGCAAACAGCTTTTAAATAAACAATAAAACCCTAGCTCTTTCAACAGGTGCTTCTTGTCTTCATAAATGACAAAGACAGAATGATGCCTTTTTCTTTGGTACACAGGTCTACCTGTTGAAAGTGCAAGGATTTCTATCGGGTTTTTAAATGTGATTTACTAATCTTTTCATCCTACGTGTTTTTCGTTATCATGAGCTAACAAGAACAGTGACGTAGTTCGTAGTAGTAAGCTCAGGTAATCTTTATGTTTAGAGATTTAGTTACAGAGAGTTAAATATTAATCAATTCCTGACATTCGCCCATTTAATTTTACTTCATCTGACTGTTTTGTTATTACTAACTTGTAGGCCTGAGTAAGGACGAGTTCGAGTTTTCCAAAAATGGGGACGGACCAGCTCGTTACAATATCATTCATTTCAAACAGGTGAAACCAACAAGTTATCAATGGGTTCGAGTTGGCGAATACCGAGATGGTCAATTGACCCTCAACCTCTCTCAAATACAGTTTCGTCTGTATGAAAAAGCTATGCCCTCGTCAGTTTGTAGTGACCCTTGCGAAAAAGGGCAAGCTAAAAAGTTTGTAGAAGGGGAAAACTGCTGCTGGCATTGTTTCAACTGTACAAAATACCAAGTACTCCTCTCGGAAACTCAATGTGTGGAGTGTCCTTTGGGTTTCCTCCCAGACTACAACCACGAAGATTGCATCGCCATTCCAGAGCTGTACATGAGTCCAGATAGTTATTGGGCCATTGGAGCGCTTGCTTTCTCAACAACAGGAATTTCCGTCACAGTGTTTGTGATTTTAGTATTTATTCGTTACAATGATACTCCTGTAGTCAGGGCGTCTGGTCGAGAGCTTAGCTACGTCCTTTTGGCCGGTATATTAATGTGTTACGGTATGACGTACATGTTGGTACAAAAGCCGACAAACTTCATCTGCGGCGCACAGAAAGCTGGTATCGGTTTGTGCTTCGCTGTTGTTTACAGTGCACTTCTGACTAAAACCAACAGAATTTCTCGGATTTTCAAAGCCGGTAAACGAAGCGCAAGAAGGCCAAGTTTTATCAGCCCTAAATCCCAACTGGTCATCTGTGGAGCACTGATCGGTGTCCAGATATCGATTACAACCGTGTGGCTAGCCTTCACGCCTCCTCGGGCGATTCACCATTATCCAACACGAGAAGATAATCACGTGGTATGTGCAGCTTCTATTAATGCTAGCTATATGGTAGCTTTCGCTTATCCAATTACTTTAACTCTCATCTGTACCGTGTACGCCATTCTTACTAGAAAGATTCCAGAAGCCTTTAACGAGTCCAAGTACATAGGTTTCACTATGTATACCACGTGTATTATATGGCTGGCTTTTGTGCCGATCTATTTCTCCACAGCTGAGCACGTGGCTCTTAACGTCACTACAATGTCAGTAGCCATTAGTCTTAGCTCTACGGTAACCCTAGTATGCTTATTTACTCCCAAACTGTATATTCTACTTCTACATCCAGAAAAAAACATTCGCCAGTCAATGATGCCTCAGAATAAATGTGGAACTTTAAAGAATAACACTTTAATTATTTCGTCATCAGCAAGAGTTGAATCGGCCACACAATCTGACGGTAAGGACTTCTTGTTCGTAAGTTATTTCTTTAATATAAATAAAATACTACAGCAGCAACCACTATAATCTCGTGTTACCTATGGATATATATATTGGTATGTTGTAACGTTAGTAAGCACAAAGTGAACTTAACAACATCTACAAAATGTTTTCTGCCACTTTCTCAATTCTTCGGAAAATAAAATTAACTTATTGAACTGTGAGTCACTTTTAAGATACAGCTGTGACACCTGTTAGGCCTATTTTACATAGAGTAATTTAACGTCGTGTTCTTTTGTGTTTTATTTGTTTGTTTTTGTTGTTGTTCTTTTTTCGGGATGGGGTGGGTGTTCGTAGAAGTTTTTTTCCAAATCTCTCTATGAAAAAAATACATGAATTAGTTACATGTGAAGAGATAAGAGATAACTATTGGATCTGATGACAGAACTTTTAAAATTAATGCATTTTTTTATTCTAATCCTCCATACTCGTTTTTTTCTTATAGCAATGTCACATCGGGCTACCTGCTGCGCCCACCTAGGATAATCGAAATCCTTGATTATAGCATTGTAAAACTGAAGCCTTACCGCTGTCCCAACGGGGGACTTACATGACACTGATCTCATTTTTAGGAATTGATTAAATTTCTACAAATGAATGTGAAATGCCATATATATAATTAATTATATATTTTAATATAAATTATCAGACAAATTAATTTCCTTATTGAAGTCATCATCTAAGTGGTTTTGCTAAAAATATATGATTATAAAAATTTTCACAGTAAATGTCTTGCTGACTTTTCACGAGATACGTGTGTTTTAATCAGCATAAGCAATATTAACCAGCGAGAACACGTTTTTATCACTGCTAGTATCAAGGTCATGTGTGCATTTACTTTTACCTGTATCGTACTACTGCCGCTCTAGGCCCGGCAAAGCCAGGTAGTTAGGGCGCTCGACTCGCAATCTGTGGGTCGCGGGTTCGCATCCCGTCACACCAAACATGCTCGCCCTTTCAGCCGTGGGGGCGTTATAATGTGGCGGTCAATCCCACTATTCATTGGTAAAAGAGTAGCCCAAGAGTTGGCTAGGGTGGAGATGACTAGCAGCCTTCCCTCTAGTCTTACACTGCTAAATTAAAGTTGCCTAGCGCAAATAGCCCTCGTGTAGCTTTGCGCGAAATTTAGAAACAAACAAACAAACAATACAGCCGCTCTAACAGTGAAGACAGGTGGGGGATTCATTGTAAGCTTTCTCGAGTATATCTGTTAATAAACTGGAGAAATTTGTTAAAAACCATCTGTCAAAATTGAATGTGTATTTGGGCATATGTAATTAATTGTTTAGTTACATTGTGTCAAATTATATATAGTTTACGATTCATGCTATACCGATCGAAGCCCAGACTATGAATATGTGGATTAATGGTTCGCCTCCCGTTTCTGCTAAAACGCGCTTCGTACTTTTGGACCGTGAGTGCACTGTAACATATCTCGCTATTCGATTAAAGTAGCGTAAGAGTTGGCGGTAGGTGCTGTTGACTAGCGGCTTTGCCTCTAGCCTGTCAACTCAAAAGTAGGAACGGCTATGCGTAGACATTGCTTATGTAGCTTTGCGCGAAAATTCTTAAACGAACAAACGATTCATACGACATATTTAATGTGGCTTTTGTGGGTGAGCAAAATAGCCATATCCTGTTACAAAAAAATCTTAAGAAATCAAAGTATCTTGTTGTTTTAAATACCTTAGCATTATGTTCATTTGTTATGCGTGCTTTTGCAATATATATATATGCAATAAGTAATCACCATTTTGCGGTAAGCCTAACTACTTATGTGTAAAATCTAGGTGGTTTGTATTGATATTATGATATTACATATTCCATACATAGTTTGAACTTTATGGTTTTCCTTTGAAATGCACTGACTACGACTGTCAGTATTCTGTTTACCATCTACGTACCACACTTCATTCCTGTAACCTGAAATCTATCAGCCTGGATAGAGCTTACAGTTGAAATGTGACTAGCATGGAGTAAATTATTATCAATGAATAACAGCTAAACTCAGTCGAACATAAGCTAATTCTGTTACACTTAATATTTCTGTTTTTGTAATACAATATAAATATTAATTTTTCAAAACTTACCATACAGAAATTTTGTGGATCGAAATGTTTATTAGCGCTCACTAATTTATTTATCATTTGTTTGTTAGATAATTTGAAATAAGGACAATTCCATTGAAGGCTTATGCTTAATGCTGTTCGGAATGAAACCGTTTTTAAAACATAGGTTCTTTCCAGCTATACGTAAAAAAAAAAGTAGATGGTATTTTGTTATGTGAAACTTCAAAAACGTTTTTGATGGATATTATAAAAAATACAATATTCAAATAGTTGTGGTGATAATATTAGTAATTTCAAAGTGGCATCTTTTGTCCATATGGGAGAAATGGCCACATCAGTGATCCCTGGGTTTCAGGTATAACTGTCACCAATAAAAAGATGTGAAGAAAACAGAGTGGCCAACAACATCCGTCGTTACAGCGTTTTTATGTAGCTTTAAACCGAATAACGAGATTGACTGTTACTCCTAAAAAATGCACCCACACTTGGAAGATTTGTTTGTTTGTTTTGAATTTCGCGCAAAGCTACACGAGGGCTATCTGCGCTAGCCTCCCTAATTTAGCAGTGAAGAATTAGAGGAAGGCAGCTAGTCATCACCACCACCCACCGCCAACTTTTGGACTATTTTTGTACCAGCGAATAGGGTGATTGACCGACACATTATAACGCTTCCACGGCTGAAAGGGCGAGCATGTTTAGTGGGACGGGGACACTCGGAAGAACAGTGTATGTCCAGCGGTATAACGGCGCTGACTTGGGACCTCCGTGCCCGTCCAACACATGAAAAAAAATTACACTTTAGTGAAGCGTGGTGAAGATTTTTTATTTCACATATATTTTCCAAAACTTCTTTATGACTCCAAAACGCGACAAAAAAGTTTTCGTCAGTAGAAACACATTTTTTCTTTTTGTAAAACAGAAATGATAAAATAATCCAATTATAATGAATTGATTTTTCTAACGTCCGTTAAGGTTGGAATACCCTGTGAATATGTCGACGAACCTATAGAAATTCAATGCTATCTTAATGATATTTCATTCACATTTTAGCTTTACTGATCATTAAGTTGGCGCCACTATGGTAACTCAATATCAGTGAATCGTTTTTCATGACGTAATACTGTGGCAGTGATTGGAAACTATATGAAGCTACGATACCAAAAAATAATTTGATATGATAAATGATTCAACAAAGTATAAAATTATATGTTTCTGTGACTTTTATGTATCATTATCATTATGATATGTTTCCCACCAGAGGGTAGGAGAGCGAGAAAGTCGATAATCAAAAATACAATGTAGGGATTTCTTGTTGATAAAGTAGTTCTTTAGTATAGATAAAATGTTACAGCAGTAACCACTATATCCTCATATTACCTATGAATGTTATGGTGCGTAATATCGCACTAACGGGCATAATGTAGGCTTAACATCTGTTAATTTATCTAGCATTTCCTCAGTTTCCACTTGCAAATGTTAAATTTTGCTGCAGTACAATCCTGAGCCAAAAGTTTTTACCTAATGTAATTGTACAGTTTCAATGTCTTCGACATATTAACTACCATTAGCTAAATACAATAATATAAAATAATCCGGGAGACTTATTTCTTATTAATTCTTTCTTTTATGAAGAGTGACCAATTTTTTTTGTCGCTGTTTGGTAAATATTCATGCTATTAGCGTTATGGTGAAACCTTCCCGTTTTTTATTGCTACAGTCTGCGTGTCTACCTATTCAACACAATATCTCACAAACCAGTAAAAATGCAGTTAATTCATCTTTGATGATAATGAGTTAAAGATCAAGAGCAAGTTGAGGTGGTTAGTATTAGGCACCAATATACAGCCGTTTCGGATCTTATTGTTATTATTATTATTATTGCTAGGCGCCCAAAAATGAAGACGAAAATAACATACTCAAGTAGTAGCTGTACTATAGTTTTTCTCGAGAACAAATATTGCAAGGTATACTGAATAAAAGTGAAAATATGCATTTTTCAATACACATAAGTTTCCCTAAGTTTACAGTATATAAAAATACACCTTATAAACCTTTAGTACTCGTATATTTGATTACATGAAATGAGAGTACAAGTTGTATTTTGTTTTGCAGATTATGAAATGAATGACAAGCTTCGTTCGCTCAATACGTCTGTGACTCGTATCAGCTGTGCTACTCAAACTTCAAACGGATCACCCGCTGAGTTTCAGCTTTATCATGCAGACAGAGATGCGCTCTTATGAGTTTGAGTGTCTTCCTCTACCTTACTGCGAATATCATGATTTTCTCTAATTTCTAAACTATTTTCAAACTTCCAGATCAAATAGTGGAATGTGAGCGGCTTCTTAAACTTTGATGTAGTTATCTCTGAAGTAGGAAGATCGAAGTACCTTGGAGAGACGTTCAGAGGCTATTTTCCAAATTAATTAAGGAAGTGAAATAAATAGTGGATGTATATATTTGTGAGTATCTGTGTATGTTATCTAGGTTCTGTGTCACTCCATTACAACTTTGTAACAGCTCCTGTGTCAGATAATGGGTTTCTCATGCTTTCACGTTAAATATAAAATATTTGGATAGCGCGTTAAGGACATCGCGAGACACGCAGTTACATGACCAGAGACTGTAGAAACGAACGATTTCATGTAGCTGCACTTTCTTTCTGTATATTATACTAGTTATGAGAGCTTTATGTGTTGTGTCGAAAGATACGATACGTTCCGCGCGTATGTGATTACCTGATAGCTCTTATAGTAAATTTATGTTGTTATTCATGTTGGAAGTAATAAATTGCCAAGCAGGTACTATTTAACGGGATTTTATTACTTTTAAATGCGTAAGTTACATATTGTTACAACTTCTTACTCACTTTTTAATTATTTATGGAACCGCCATAAAAAATCTTTAAAAAGCAGGATACCGCTGACCAGATGTTATTACTGAAATTTGATTGTCGCCTGCGAAAGAATTCGGTTCTCAAACCTGAAAGAACAGCCGATCTACGGAATCCCAGTCCTGTAAAAGTAGCACAACTCAGTAAAAGGATAAAACGAATTTCAAGATGAATAAAGTGTCATAACGTTTTGACATTCTTGGAACCGGATATTCAGAAGAACTACAACGTTTTCAACACAACTGATTGTTTTCAGTGGGGATCCGGTCAAAAACCATTTAACAACTCTCGTACAACTTCATAGTTTCAGGAAGTAATAGAAACAATACACGTTGTTCTATAGTATGTAGGTCTTCTTTTGAATATTCAGTACACATTGGATGTATTGTTCTTGGAGTATAGAATAACACCGCCCTATTGTAATGTGAGTTACGTTTGAAGTATTGTTTATGTAAGGCTATTACACATTTGTTAAACACTAACATAACGTTTGTATGATATCTAATGCATTACTATACATGTACCAGTGACAATAGATGCTAGAAAGCTGAAGAATCGAAACGTTTAGTCGTGCCGTGTTTACAATGTCAACTGACGTACACGTACTAGTGTTGTTAGTCTGGGTAAAAATCTGGATGTGCCATTTATGTAAAACAGGATGTATTGCACGTGTCTCTTCGATACGATAACATAATGTCGGATGTGCCACATTTATACAGTAAGTTGATATTAAATGTTTCTTATACACATTAAAATGATAATAATTACGCCGCCTGTATAATATAAAATTACATAGATCGCTTTACTGTCGCTGTGTGGATGGAATTGAAAGTGTTACGTTCTAGAATCGAATGATACTGATATACTATTTATGTATTATGTTCGTTTACTATTGCTTCAAGAATTATATTAGGTAGGTAATGTTTACAATGTCGAATATAACAAAATGTATAGTGGAGATAAATCTTTGCACGTCACGCTTATTACAGGAAGAAAACAGACATTATCTGTACGTGTGTTACAAGTTACGTCGTTACACTATACCACTGTGGATAAATGGAATATTGATTTTGGTAATAGTACTGTTTGCAATATCATATTTTACTTCTTTCTGTGTAAAAGCTTCCGATTATAGTAAACAAGTATGGTAAATATCTGTCTGTATGAGCTATATTTTATCTTTTCTTTTTATTAGACTATTAGAAGAACATGGTAACTGTTGCTCGAATTTTCAAATTATGAATCTAGATCTAGACAGCTTTACAGTAATATTTAGGGTTGTAATTCTGATTAGCTGTTACACAAGAACTGTTACAAAAAACAACTCGTGTTAACCTAATTTGTTTCTTGTGTAGAGTAGGTAAAACGTTTGATATCGGTATGTGAACAAGTGACAAATTATAAATTATTATCAACTCTAGACCTGATTATTTTGAGATTTAAAAACGATTTTGATGATGATAACATGTCATAATAAGCTTCGAAGTTATTTATTAATATTGTAAAAAGCTGTTCACAAATAAAAAATAAAATATATATGATTTGTTGACAGCATTGGAATATATTGAATGAGGATTTTTACTACTGTCAAATCGATTAGTAGTAGAAAGACATAAAGTGAAAAATGGAAAGACAGTAAATGATTTTATAATTCTTGGTCACTTACAAGTTGAAACCATGAATAATTACTATAAGTTGACATTTTCGTTAATTTAGATCCAGTGGCATTAGATCTGCTTCCATTTATCATATTAAAAAATATTTTGAATTTCAGGTAACATCTGGTAGCGGGAAATTTTCTTTTACATATATACTAATATAAGGAATATGTAATTACAAAACTGTTAACTTTTACATATATACTAATATAAGGAATATG